TACTATTAGTCAATAAAAGTTCGCCTTGCACCTACAAATTATTATAAAGTTATTTGAATCCTACGGTCGTCATGTGGGAAGTTGGTCGCGCTCGAAGCGTTCAGGCTGAAAGAAAGTCTTTTTGTTGCCTAGGCAGTGCAATCCTTTGCTGGGATGCGATAAAATTTCCCGAGTGAGCTAATTAATGAAAGCAAAATAAAACGGGAATGTTCAGATTGTTAGCGGTAAATAAAGGCATCGTGTGGGCGGCGGAACTGATGTATTTTGTTTTTTAAATTGCTGGTTTTAGAGTCCTCACTATGAAAAGAAATTGTCTCAGTCAAGCGACACCATACTCAATCAATTTGAAGAGTGAGCGTGTTGTTCATTATCGGTGAGTGATGATCTAAATGCAAAATCTTGCAATTTGACCAGTATAAGGAACTCAACTATTTGTTTTCCCTTTTTAGTCTTCTTTTTATCAACCCATCTATATTATGTTTCTAATATTAGATGCAGTGATGTGGACTTGATCTTCTTCGAACTTCTTCTTTTATCACCTTAGCTGATGCCAAACTTAACATTTGAGAAATTTACTCTCATGAACTTCTTGCGCTGAACCATGAATTCGCTATATCTATTCATCTGTCTGTCACGAAATTTGGTATTTACTGAGGAGTCACCAGCAGAGTCTGGTTCAAGTCAGGGTTGTGTATACCATGGGATAAATCGAAGGCACGGGTCGGGATCGAAGAGACCCCTGACAGTGCTATGGCTGGGTCTTCAACCACAAGAGTGATGCCGCGCTCGACTCGGAACCACGTGGTATTAAAGCTTCCGGCTACTCAAGTTGACGTGAACTATAGTGTGCGTCGGACCATAGCTCACATCGCCGAACCGTGGGAGGTGTGCGCGGCTGGAACAGTGTGAAATTGGCTGGGTCGATCGCCATATTAACTGCTAGCTCGGAGCCGTCAATGGTTGGTAGTCTAGAAAACTCGTTCGGCTGGCTTCCTCCAAAGCCAGCCTCCTTCGCTGCTGTTCGGGGGATGGGGTTTCATGTTCAACTTTGATTTCGACCTATTGGAGCACGCATCGATCTGTGCGGTGCCAAACGCACTATTTCCCAGTCCGGTTTCAGAAAAAAGTAAGTAAAGGTGAGC